CTCGTCCTCGGGGGGTGTGAAGGCCGCAGATGCGAGTCCCCTCCCGGGCAGGGCTGCAGCGCTCTCCCCTTGGCCCCACCTGACCTACCTGTTGCCTTGCAGGAGCTACGAGGCGCAGATACGGAATTACCAAGGGACTGACCCGCTGGACCCATGGGACAGGTCAGCGCGGCCCTGGCTCGGGTTTTAGCGCGGCTGCTGGCGCCCGGCGGCGTTATAACTCGCTTGAGTGTGTTTCAGGTACGCGCAGTGGGTGGAAGGATGCCTTCCCCTTCACGAGAAACAGCAGCGCTTGCCCGGCGTGCTGGAGCAGCTTGTGAAGGTGTTCGTAACGGAGGAGAGGTACCGCCAGGACCCGAGATTCGTTAACTACTGCATTAAGCTGGTAGGTACAAGCTTCCTGGAGAGCGAAATTATCTTAAAAAACTAGAGGTGTCTCACCATTCTGTAGTTCTGGGACTGCAAAGGGAGGAAAAGGAGCCTTCAGGGAGGGATATGGTGTGGAGTTCAGAGGTATTGCTCTCTGCGGGAGCCCTGAGAGCTTTTCAGCCTTGCTGAAGGGTAGCACATTTCCTCGAAGCTGTGTTACTAAGATGGTGAGCAGTGCCTCATCTCCCAGCTGGCTTAATTTTTAGAAAATAATGTGTTTCTACAATGGTAACTAAGAAATCTTTATTGGGCTCTTTTTTGCCTGCAGCTTCCTTGGATGTTTTTGAAAGTGCTTATGGCATCTTCCTCTCACGCAGGCAGAATTCATCACTTCCCCTTGCCAGTATTTTGACTACCTGTGCGGACAGGGAATAGGTACAAAAGTGTCTAACTTCTACATTGCTTGGGCTCAGCAGCTCGTGCACGAAGGCAACGTGCAGCGCGCAGAAGCTGTCCTTCAGAAAGGACTTCACAACCAGGCGCAGCCACAAGAGAACTTGCAACAGCTGTATTGGTAACCCTGACACATCTTTTGCTCGTTGAGCTACTCAGATAACGTATGGTTAATTATTTTTTCCTTTGATTTTTTTTGGTTTGTGGCTGTAGCCAGAGCTGCAGTGAGATCAGAAATTCCTGATCTGAACTGGATTTCTTATTCCACCGTGGGGATATGTTGACAATAACACAAACATCCCGTTTCTTGTGCTTGTCGCTCGGTACTTAGGTGAGAGTGGGTGCCCGTTGGGGTTTAGCATTTAGTGGTTGGAAGCACTAGAGTTAATGCTTGTCACAATATATGTTCCTTGGGGTGATGATAGAACAGGAACCCAATTTCCACATCCTGCTACCTATTGCAGGCTCTTATTTTTGCAAATGTGAAGCTAAGGGGATATGTCCCTAGACAGTAATAAGTACCTTGTCACTACCCTGAGGTTCTTAGCATTACATTTCACGGTGTGATGACTGTATGAGGAAATCAAAGGTTCCTGGGGAACAGGGAGGAATGAGGGTCAGGTCATTTAATGGTAATAACTGACGTTTCTTGCAATTTAGCTGGCTGCAGAATTATGATCCTCAGAATCCTCCTCTGCAAGGTGAGGCTCAAGTCATCTGCCTGTGAGCTGTAGCTCAATTGGATGAATCTTTTACCTCAATCAGTGAGTTTTGTTCCTGAAGGAAGCAAGTTTTCTGTAGAAAGTGATTAACTTTTCCCTGTTTTCCTGGCCATATTTGAAATTCTTAAGGAGTCGTGTGTTCAAAATTAGTTTTCCAAAATTAATGGAAATTAATAAATGAGAAAATTATTTCTGCTCGTTAATGCAAACCTGTATTCTCTGTCCCAGGTACTGCTGTTATAAAACCACTTCAAACTTCACATGCTGCCAATCAGATGGCTCCTCAAAAAGGTGTTTTGAATCGTAATGACCCAGCGTATCCTTGCAGAAATCAGGTAAATGGTGGTTAATAGAGCGGCTCAGACATTGTGGGGAAAGATGTGGAGCCCTCACGTGGCGTTTAGACTGATGAGCTTGACTGAATAAGAAAGGTAAAAAGAGAGACTAATTTGGAGGTATCGGGTGTATCTCAAAAACATTACTGATGCTTTTATGCCGTGTCACATCTTCATAGAAATATCTCAACTGGGAAGCAATGGGACATGCTTTGTAGTCACTTGACACATTTCCAGAACCACAGGTGATCCATCCAGCTGGTTAGCATTCTTAGGAGGGATAACATTACTGAGAGGTTCTGTGCCAGTGGTGCTTCTTGGAAATTGCCTGCGTTGAATTTTGCTGAAATTCAACTTACTCCTTAAAGTCCTCTTTAAGAATGAATAAAAGATGATGCTGGAGGAGAAATTTGTAGCTTCTTCTAGCTCTACTAAGTACCAGGATGCAGCACTCTGGTTCCTCTGAGGTTTGTCAAAGGTAGTTACAGTTCTTCACAGTCTTTCTGGCACAGTTGGAAAACGGGAGGTGAAATTCAAGGCTGAAAGACGACAGGTAGGAAACTGATGTCGCCTTTCACAGCTTGGTCCTGTTTTCTGACGTGCTCCTGACTCTCTCGGTTCGGTAGTGCTTGAAAATACTGCAAGATACCTTGGGTGTTGGAATAGAGCTTGAAACTTACTGCTGCTGCCTGTGCCTTAGGCCCCAGCTGGGATGGTTTGCTAAGGAAAGGAATTGGATGAGGCTACCCAGTCTCTTTTTAACAAACCCAAGTATCTATAACTGGCATTTGTGGTTTTTTGGAATTGAAACTACTGGTTCAGCTACCTCCAGTGTCCTCCTGGACTGCAGTTTCCAGGACTACTTTTGTCTCTTAGTGTTCTGGGGTCTTGTTCATCTTCCAAAAGCTCTCGGAGATTGCAGCAAACTGATGTGTGGTGAATTCTTCAGCACAAGCTTCCTCGGGCTCCGATGACTTGTCGAGCTCTGTTGATCTGTTCGTGCCATGCTCATGGTCTCAACTGTTGTCTCTTCAGTCAGAATTAAATATTAGGAGCTTTGTGGTTGCTGGTCCTGTCAAAATGGATCCTTAATGATAATATTGGAATTCTTTCTTTTTCTTAATATATCTTTTATTTCCCCTGTCCTGCTTAGGGTCCTGATTCTGCTGAGTCCTGTTCTTCTGCTGGAAGAGAAGTGTAAGTGGTTAGGTTTCCTTTTTTAAAGCCACACGGTGGGAAAATTAACACGCTCTCAGAATAAATCCAATAAACTGGAACAGAGCTTTTTCTTATCTTTCCTCACAGCAAGTACATTACGTACATCTCCAAATCTGAAGTTCTCCCAAAGTCATCCATGGCGGCTGAGTGTGAGCAGGTTGCGATGTACGATAAGAACCAGCTTGTGTGCGAAGGCTCCGAACTGTCTTTTGAGGAGCTGAGAGCCAAGAGATACTTCAAGAAATACGAGCGCCTCAGAAGACAGCAAGATTGGGGTATTCTTCTCTTTCCGTCTATCTTGGAAGCATTCTCATATTCTTGGAAAGCTGGGACTGACACTGATATCTACTGTTTAAGCTCATCCATTAGGTCTGGTTCTTCAGACCGAGGTTTTCCTGGAGGGTGGTGTTTGTCCTGAGGCAACAGGAGGAGAGTGTGAGTGTGCTGTATCGAAGAGGCACGCTGTCTTCTTGGGGCCTTTGTGGCAAATGTAGCTGTGGGATGCCCCTTGTATAGTTGGGGAAGTCTTGAAGCATAGAAAAGGGGAAGTTTGATATTAGAGGTAATGCTTTTGTTTGCTGAATGATTGATTTTTTTTAGGAGAAAAAAGGAGTGGGCTTTCAAATCAACAAATTGGGTCTGAGAAACAAGCCCAAAACGGAGTGCAACTGAAGAGCAGCTGCTCAGAAGCTAGTTAGTTGTGTATCTGACCAGTTAAAGGAGGGGGAAAAATAGTGTTGCTGGACAAAAGAAGTAATTATCTCATTTGGTTAAGGAAGAAATGGATTAGTTGTAATCAGTGGAAGAGGGAGAGATTCAGTAGGAGGGAAGATGCTAATGCATTTTTTCAAACAGTTGTTGGAGTTTGGATGTTATTGTTTGGGTTTTTTTTTTTTAATCCAGTAGGACAGCAGGCTCCACCCCCACCCAAATTTTACCAAAGGGTCACGTTGGTAGAATCTGGGAGCTGGTATCCCCTTGTGCTGAGGATGGGTGCCAGCAGCGGGCTGGCAGCAGGAGGGAGCCTGGCACCGCGGGCAAGGGGAAATACCTCTTTCTCCCAAACTCTGGAGCTGAGCGCCAGCCTGTTGTACAGGCCATACATCCAAATTTGAAATTCAGGCAGTTTGTGCTGTCTGAGCAGCTCGTTTGGGTACCGATTCACCATTTCGCTTCACGGCATCGTTTCATCCTTAGAAGAAGAAGAGAGAGACTCCTTGAGGAAAAAAGAGTCTGAGGTCCTCGAACTGCAGGCCCTGCAGCAGAAGCTGCAACAGCTCACAGAGCTCACAAAAAGCTTGGAGGAAACGAGACTGGAGCCTGCATCTACAACGGCCACCCCAAATGAGACGGTGGTAAGTACGAGCAGGAGGAGATTGCCTCGCGGAGTTTAGCTGCGGCCTAGACGGTGAGCGGTTCTCTTGTGTGCGAATAACTGTTGCAGCAGTGCAGACATAAAAGGGAAAATGGCAACGGCTATACCTGTGTGGGGTTTTCTGAACGTAAAAGGACCTTTCTTCTCTCTAAAGGTGCACCCACGCGTGACACCCGCTGCGGCGCTACAGCAGAACCGGATGGCGTCTTGTCAGAGCTCGGAGCTGCAGAACCCCCGAGGTCCGGTGCCAGACCGGCCTCAATCAAGCCCTTTGTCACCCACCGCTCTTGCGCCGCCGTCGGCGAAGCACGTCGGCCATCGGCTGACATCAGCCCCGCCGTGTGAAGTGACGTGTAGGAAGGATGAAGCCAGAACCCCGCTAGAGCTTGGAGATCACCAGAAGAGTGTGTTACACCCTCCGTTCGGTAATGTGTCGGCTCGGGAAGGGGCACGTGCCGACTCAGCTCTGAATTGGAACGCTGAAGAACAGTACGTATACGCAGGCTCGTTCTTGCTGTGCTAAGTGTGCGGGCTTCAGTGTTTACACTTCAGCTGAGCATTAACTGAAGTCCCTGTCTTGCTTTTCTGTAAAAAGAGCTGAAGCAGCCTGTAGAAAACAATATTTAGACATGTCACTTGCATAATGTACCGTCCTCGTTTCAGCCCTTAATTCCTTTAACGCTGTGTTTTGGTTGTAATAACCAAGAAGAGATTCGGTGGGTAACAGAGGTAACTGTTTAGCGCTGCTGTCCCTGGCACGCCGGAACCAAACAGCAGGATGTGCCTCGTTCCTGCGGAGCCCAACCTTTGCATCTTGGCTGTTAATGACTCTGAGAAGATAGAAAGTGTGTGTATTCTGCACTCTTGCTGGCATGACTTAGCTAATACAGGAAACAAAATTGGGGGACGGAGGAAGAAACCTGGATTGGCAAAGCACGCGTGGCTGAGCGATCGGTCACTCGTACCATGGAGTGACCTGGAGGCAAACTGTACCCAAGAAGGGTGTTTAATGCCAGCGTTTTAACCTTTTTATGGGGCTCTGCCACCTTTCAGGTTTTGTAGCTGTTGGCAACTGTATGAGAAACTTTCTGTGGGTGGTCTCGACTCGAGAATCTTTCACTTAATTTGAATGACTGAAGAGAGTCGGTCGTGGCAGGGGGGAAAAAAAAAATAGGGTGACTTGTTGCTGTCTGTCTGGGGTGTTTTCCTTGTTCTAGACTGGGAAAGGCTTGGAGTGCAGTCCTAAGTGCTGAGCTGAAGCTGGAATCTCGGTAATAGCTTTTATTTCAAGCTAATGTTCTTAATCTTCCCTTTGAAGGCACCCTAAGAAAAAATCCACTGCACTACCTACTTCTGTAGATGTGAAAGAAGGTAAGAAACCAAGATTTGGTCAAAACTGATGCTGTTGGTATGACACGTAGGGACTTAATGGTGGACTTGGCAGTGTTGGGTTAACGGTTGGACTTGATGATCCTAAAGGTCTATTCCAACGTAAACAACCCGATGACATGTTACTGGTTGGGGATCAGTAGTGTGTAGCTACTTCAGCGACAGATGTCTTGTTCTCATTTTCTAGGATCTCGAGTTGGAAATTCTTCCTTTGCTTCCGGAAACGCTTCTCAAGCTACCCCCAACACCTCGCTGGGAGGAGCAATGCAGGCAACACCGTTCAAAGTGCAGCCTTCACCTACGGTTCATACCAAGGAGGCATTGGGTGAGCGTCTGCAGTAACATGCTCGTTCCACTGGAGTTAACGGGATCAAGCCGGGTAACTTTAGTGGAGCTGAATACACGAGGAGTCTATCTCACAATGGGCATGTGCACCATTCGGTCAGAGAGGAAACTAAAATTAAATTGGTACCTTTTTTGCGGTTGCTTGGATGACCCAAAACTTTTGACAAGAAATAGAGGCTTTGATAACATCCCAGCAGCCACGTCCTATAAACTTCCAGATGAGTCACCGGTGACAGCCCTGCCAGGGTTCCCTGGGCAGCACGTTCTCTGTCAGGGACTCCTGTCTGAGGTGAGTGCCTACAGCAGGCTGATGTGGAAGAACACTAGGAAGTTAATAAGTCAGCTCTGGTTGAGGTGGAGCCTTCCCCCAAAGCTGAAACAAGGTTGATTACGCAAAAGGGTTTTGACTATCTAACGAACTTTGTCAATTCTAAACATGGCTTGTTTTCAAAATACGTTGTATTTCTGATGTCAGGTGTGGAATAATAATACCCCGATGCGGGTTTATCCCTTTTGTACTCCCCTACCACGTTGTTCTGACAGTTAACTGCTAGCACAGAGCGAACTACTGCAGCTGAATATATGTCTGTAAAAAGGAAAAGAATCCCACAGAAAGCTTGTGGTATTCATCTGTTTTCCAGGTATTCAAGAATTTTCTCCTTTAGGAGAACTTGAAATCACATCTTGGAGAGAAAAAAAAAAAAGGCAAGGCTATGGTACTGACAAGTGTGTGTTGGCCAAGTTGGATCTTCTTGTGTTTGGTTATCTGGAGTGTTTACATACAAGATGAAGGAATAATTAGTTACTGGCATAGGAGATACGACAAGAATATTGTAAGGAATAGAAGAACCTCTGGAATTTTCTTTACTCTTACTGAGGGGTAATATTCTTGTGGGATTTTACTGCTTTTTTAGGATTTCTAATGGATATGTTTCAAACGCCCCTTGTATCCGAACCATCCCTCGATGAAAGCCAGGAGCAATTTGAAGCCTTTTGCAGAAAGAGTGGTAAGCACTACTACTTTTTTCTTTTTTTCAGTCCCTGATAATTTTTCTCCTTTATTTCCTGTGTACCCCTCCCACCCCTCCTCGTACTTTTGAGATAAGTTTGATAGGTGTGAAGAAGCCACCGATACTGGATTTAATTTGCTGACAGGTTCCAAATCTTGACGCGGGGTCTGATGGTGGCAGAAGTGCTTTACTGTTCGCACGCCTATCAACGTGTGTGCTGACCATCAGTTGCCGGGTTAGGGGTGAAAATGGGACTGTTTATACAATTATAGCTGGATTAAGATCATACTGCTTACCTCTCTTATTTTTAAGAGCCTGATGGAGGTCTGAAAACTGTTGTTGCCCCTGCCATGCCTGCGTTTTCCATCTTTGAAGATGAGAATGAAAAAGAGAACAAGGGGTAAGGAGGGAAAAAGTTAAAGCTGGGTTGTTTGTGAAGAATTTCGTACAGGAGTGATTCTGTTCCATGGGACTTTGCTGGGTCTGTGTTTGCAGAAGCAGGACTGGCTTGAGTACAGTCGCTCGCAGCTGCGTGGAGGTGGCACGAGAAAGCTGTGGCTGCTTCTCCGCGGAATTGCGCAACTTCCCTGTTTGGACGGTGTGCTCGAGATGCTTTATTTTCCAGATAGCTGTGGATAGCTTGTTTCTTGGGGCTGCTGCAACTTGAAGTATCTGCAAATGGGATTCTTTAAAGAAAAAATTAAAACAACCAACGAGTCCTTGTTATGATCAGTCTGCCTGGGAATGTTTCTGGGGAAAAGCTGTTCTAAACTCCCTGTTTTGGCAGGATCCCACAGCACAAAAACAAGCCAGAAGAGCCCAGAACTATTGGAGTGCGTCCCTTGACTGACTGTACAGCAAGTACAGAAGTGAGTGTTTGCTCTTACTGCAAGAATCAGCCTTGAAAAATGGGTTACATCGTTACAGGGGATATGGGAGGTGGTTGTATTTACTTTATGAATGATACCTAGCCAAAATCAAGATGCCCCTTCCCGTTCCCTGCCAATGGGGTGGACTTTTTCAGCTCTTAATTTTCACAAAACTCCCAGGAGCTTGGTAGTGGAGACCTCTGTCCCTAGAACAAACCTGACTGCGGCTGACTTGTGGGTTTGGCATCTGTCTGGGGGAGAAGGACACACAAACCTACAGTCTGCTTTGATAGAAGTGGTCACTAAGTAACGACAGGGGCTTTCTTGGGCTCTTACTGCAATTTTTTGCTGCCTAGCATTTTGTTGCAATATTGTTGCCAACATTCAAGTCTGATACAAAACTCTGTAAACCTGTGATTTAGGTTCTATTACCATTCTTTGTTTTGTAATGTTGTAAGTTAGACTCAATGTTATTTGAACTGGCTGCAGAGGCTGCTGGTAGGTTACAGAGCAGCTCTGGCAGGCTAATTGTGATGGCTTAGTTTTAAATATATATATATTTTTCTTTTTTTCCCCCCCCCTGTCTAGGAAGAAGCCAGGTTACAGGAGTTCTTTAGTGATGATTACACGGTGTGGAATGTACCAAGCAATAATAAAACGTTAGCTCCCAGTCCCAACAACACGAGAGACTTCGCACGAGCTGCCCAGCTTGTATCAACACCGTTTAACTACCTGTCGGCACGTTCACGGCAAGCTTTGGAGGACATAGGTAAAATGAGTATTTTAGGTTGAGAGCATCTGATTCCTTACGGAAGTGTTCGGGGCCAGGCTGGATGAGGCTTGGAGCAACCTGGTCTAATGGAAGGTGTCCCTGCCCATGGCAGGGGGTGGGACCGGATGGGCTTTAAGGTCCCTTCCAACCCAAACCTATCATTCATTCTATGAAAAAACGGACTGAAGCCCCAGCACCTTCTTCATCTGGCAGCACCTGTGTGCTTCCCTGCCCTTCTTTAGTCCTGGAATACACTCCCTAAAGACACCAAGCCATTGTCCTTCCTCATGTGTTTGAAAATAGGCTCGTTCGGTTCCAGCTGTTGCAATACCTTAGCAGCTTTCACCGCCTCAGCGTGCCTTAACCTTCTTGTTTTGGTAAAAATACTCTAAGTGTGCTTTGCTTTTCAGGGAAAATAAACATTTCCTATTGTTGTTGTTCCTTTTGTTCAGCCTGTGGGGATGACTTGCCGCAAATGGATCTGGAGTTTTCTGAAGAGCTGCACAAGCAGACAAAAGCTAAGAAGCCAAGGTATGTCACAATGTGCTGAGGCTTTTGTGACTTGGGTGACTTGCACATCTGAGCCAGAGCAGGCAGGTCTGCCGCGCTGCTCTCCGTGCAAGTTTTCCAAGTAATCTGACGTGTTTTGTGTTGGGCTGATTCCGCTAAGCATACGTCCCAGCACTTTGTGGAGGTAGATGAATTGGGAATGGTGATAATGCCCCTAAAACTGCTCCTGTGATTTAAGTTTTCTGACACGTTTCATTTAAGTTACCTGTTGAAAAAGTTTGGGTGGCTGTGCATGTGGAACTGCTGCTCCCCTTTTCAGTACTGGCTGAGCATGTTGCCTGCTGAAGTTATGGGAAGCATGATACGACAAAATCTGATTTTTCTTAAGAAATGTCCATTTTATTCATCGTTAATGTTGGTTTTGGCCAAGGTCGCAAGCGCAGACACGTGTTTGCTTACTGAAGAGACACAAGTACCGTGGCAGTGCTGTGGATGAATAACATTTTGTTTTAAATACGTAGCCCAGCTCTTGAACACGTTGCAGAACGCAGGGAGCTTCAAGGAAACGTCCTGAAACAAGGAAATGGGATTCAAGGAATTGCTACAGCTGCTTCTCAAAGATTACATGAGCAGACTGCCACGGGCAGAGCTGAATATTCCTCCTCTCTTGGGGTGGACAAAACTTGCCAGGAAAAACTGTCTGGGGCTGGGCAGGACAGGACAACCCAGAGTGTTAGAGCTGCAGGTACAGTGTTGCCAATGGTTTTCTTCCCTCTGGTCAGAGTCTGGAGCTGTGTCTTGTTCTTGCAGTGCTTGGTTCTGATGTGAAGGTGGTCGCTTACCCCTCTGATTTCCATGTTGGGTTGGGGGTTTTTGTAATCACTGATACATATTCCCATATAATCTTGTGTTACCTCTTGGAAACAACGCTTCCTATAGCTTAAACGTTTTTCTTCTTTCCATGAAGTCCTCGTTGAGAACCCTTGGGATAAGGAATTGATTTGCAAGTTCTTGTCACAGCTTCCCAAACCACTCTGCACCCACGCCAACTACTTTGAATGGAAATCTGCTCTTCCATCCATCAAACTGAAGGCTGAACTCCCGCTGGGTAAGAGCTGCTTTAAAGAGGGAACCTCCAAGGAACGTTTTTACTTCACTTTACTTGCACGTGTATATCCAGATAGCTTTTGGATTATCTAAACCTCAGATTTGATATTAGACCTGCTTTTTTAATGTGTCTTTAGTAGCCTAAAGCCTTTTTGACTGAGCATTCCATGTAGGGAGTTTTGCTAGTTCTCCTTTCCTAGTAATCTGCGCCACGACTCCAACTTCGTATGGAACAGCAGCTGTCCTGCGTCAACACAAACTGTACGGCGGTCGTTGCGACATACTGGTGTGACTTAAAAGCTAGTGTTTACTTTTTTTTAAGGCATGCACTTTCAAATTTGATTGCTTCCAGGGAGTCAGACTAAAAATAGCGACGCTGGTTTGTAGTACGTAGCGCTGCGCAGCGCTCATCTTGGTGAGGGAGCACAGGCCCTCTGCCTCGGGGAGGGTGGCAAGCAGGAGGAGAGCTGGAAAGACCAGCCGTAGGGCTAAAGCAATAACCTGCGTGGGCTGGTGCTTTTTTCTGTTCCGAGTAGTGACGTTTGCAAGCAGGACTTCATGTTGTTCATCTCCTCAAGGTTCCAGCTCGTTCCATGTGGACTGCTTGGTTGGAGAGGGAGCTTTTGCCCAAGTCTATCAAGCTTCCATTCTGGATGCAAGTAACCCCAGAAACAATCAGAAAGTGATATTCAAGGTAAGGAGTGTTGCTTTGGAATAGCTCTGCTGGAAAACTTTGGAGTAACGACGCATACCCTGGGTGGATTCTGCTGCGTTTTTGTCTTTCTCAATGTGAAGTGAAGCGTGTTGGTCTCTCCTCAAAGCCTTGCTCGGTGCTGTCTGATTCGTTCTGCGTGGGAAGTTACTGATCTTCTTGACTCCACTGGCCTCTTCATCTTTTCATTTTAACGTGGTCGCAAGTATCCTAAGGAGCAAGAATCACAACCGGGCTCCGTCTCGGTTGTGTGAGCGCTCTTAGCCTACAGCAAAGGAAAACGTGTGTGGGTTGGCCAGAGGGTGTTCAGTGCAGCGGGGGAAATAGCAGGGGTAGGAATCGGAAGGGTTTTCCTTGTTTGACTTCTCTCTTGCACCAAACGTCTGCGGCCAGCAGGAACAACAAGGTTGCAGCCAGACTGACTCTCTGAATAACATACAGGAGTGTAGAAGCCAGAATGGAGTTGCGGCACAGAATGGAAGCCTGGATTCGAGCGGATTAATCCTTTGGTGTGTTGACCTGAGGTCAATCGCTGAAGTATTTTATGTGGTCAAGAGGAAAATCGTTCTACCCTGCCATTAAAAACCAGCCACAAAATAACCCCAAGTGAGGAGAGCTCTTCATGCCGATGGATTTTCCTTGTAAATCAGCCTTTTTGGTTACAGGTCCAGAAGCCAGCCAACCCTTGGGAGTTCTACATAGCAACACAGCTGGTCGAAAGGCTCAATCCCAGTATCCGCCATCTCTACATCCACTTTTATTCTGCTCATTTCTTTCAAAATGGAAGCATCTTGGTCGGTGAGCTCTACAACTACGGAACGCTGCTGGTAAGTGGAATCGGCTTGCGCTGTCTTTTTGGAGCACTATTATCTTGCGATATTGGGGCGGCTCCTCTACTCTCCGCTTTATGGAACTTCACCGTGGCCGGATTCTGCTTATCAATGTGGACCTGGAATCCCTTCCGAGTGGTTTCTGTGCAGCTGATGGCTCTTCCCACTCCCTTTGATTGCAGAATGCCATAAACATTTACAAAAAGCTTCCCGAGAAGGTGATGCCTCAGGCCCTTGTCATCTACTTTGCTGTAAAAATCCTTTATATGGTGGAGGAGCTGCACAGATGCAAAATCATTCACGGTGACATCAAGCCCGACAATTTCATACTCGGAGAAAGGCAAGTGTTCCCCTTTGTCTACCCGAGATGCCAGCATATCGCGATATCCTAGCCTCGATATTTACATAATGGCTTTGTTTTGTCATGATTGAAGGTTTCTGGACAACGACACGTGCGACATAGACGGTGTCTCCCACGGCTTGACGCTCATTGACTTGGGGCAGAGTATAGACATGCAGCTCTTCCCCGAAGGAACGGCATTTACTGCGCGGTGTGAAACGTCTGGGTTTCAGTGCATCGAAATGCTGACGCAGAAACCGTGGAACTACCAGGTAGATCGGGCACGGGCAGCCCGAACTTACCACCTTAATCTGGCGTGAATAAACGGGGTGTAGAAACCTCCAACAGTTGTAGACTCAGCTTGTTGCTTTAAAAACACGATCCTGGACGCTCCTCTTACAGAGCTTACCCTGTTGGCTCCACAGTGTGTGTTTTTGGCTAATTTTTGGTGCTCTCAATGCACTTTTTTTAAAATGAACTTGCGCTTGCTTTGTTTAGACGGATTACTTCGGCATCGCAGCAACGGTCTACTGCATGCTCTTTGGTACCTATATGCAAGTAAAGAATGAAAACGGCATCTGGAAGCCCGAGGGAGCCTTCAGGAGGTGGGTGTCAAACCTTTTCAGCACCTTCCCTTGTCTAGAAAGAAGTGTCCTTAGTCTGAGGTCAGTTTCTGTGCTTCCCGATGCTCTAAAAACTGGGTGTTCCGTGCCTGGCAACCGCTCTGTAAAATTCCCCGAGCTAAGTGCGGGAAGCGTTTTGCCAGGGGACGCGGCGGATCGCACGACGTCCTCGGCTTCTTGCTGCCCGGAGGGAGAGAAACCACAGCTAATGAGGGAAAATCCCACTAAGCAGCACGGCGTCGCCTGACAGCCGTGTCCGCCGTTGCTCCAGCCTGTGGCTGGGAAGGGAGCGGGATAAATGCGGGGAAATAGCATTTCAACAGCTTGAGTTTAGAATTCCTCGGATGCATTTTTGTCCCTTCGCAGGCTTGCCAACGCTGAGCTGTGGAAGGAGTTCTTTGAGCGCATGCTGAACATCCCCGGCTGCCACAGCCTGCCGTCCCTGGGAGCTGCGCGCCAAAGGCTGACCGACTTATTTCGCCAGTCGTACGCGAAGGAGATCAAGTTCCTCCGGAACAGGCTGGTCGTGCTGCTCATAGAACACAAGCGGTCACGGAAGTGAGCGCTGGGGCTGCGCGCTTGCCGAGGGGCGGCGTTTTAGCGGTGTGAGGTCTCTTTGGGATGACTTGCTTTGGAAATAAACGTTCTTGGGGTTAACTTCAGGAATGGTAACTTGGTTTTTCTGTGCTGTTGGGGCGGGGAGGAAATGACAGTAAAATAACTTGTTCATTTAACTTGTCGAGTTGTTGCTCCTGCGTTCCCAGCCCTTCCGCCTTCTCCTTCTGGGTTGAAGGAAAGCAAAGTTTGCGGATCAGCTTTAGGTTGGATGGGACTGGAATCAGCCTCATCCCTTTTACGTTCCCCTCTGCCCAGCCACAACGCAATTACTGGAGATGGGAGGGAAGACCAGGAGGCACATATCTCTGCTGGAATGGAAAGGGTTATTTTCTGTTCCTCACGGGATTTTGTTTTCCTTTATTCTGGCAGAATATTATGAAAAGGCTGAGAATGCGTTCCCTTAAATGTATTCCCGCTTCCTTTGTACCTGTTCTTATGTTTCCTACCAGCACGAGTCCCTCACTCAAGCCTGCGTGAGCTTGGCTTGCCTTCCCTTTTTCCAAAGGTTAAATGTCAAAATAACTCCAATTACCCCACTTACACAAATTCCAAGGAAAGCTGGCGGGTATCTTTCCCCCACCAGCTCCTCGGCAGCTGAAACTCACTGCTAAACCTTGTCTGTGCGACCTTTCCCTGGAGCGACAGCCGCGCTGGCTTTGGAGGGTTTCCCAGGAGGACTGACCGGTCTTCTCCCTCCTTTTCCTGGAGTCCCGTGTGGTGGGAAATGCCCCCCCAGCTGCCCCATCCTGGGGCAGAAGCTGGAATTGCCGGCACTGAGATGCTTCTTTCTCTCTCTCTAAGGACCTTGTTCCCATCCGTGGATCACACGGGGAGCTGCGAGCAGAGGTTATGGACCCGGAGTGAGTTGTAAAGACAAGGAAGGGGGAGAGGAGAGCCAGCAGCACAGAAGCCAGCGCTCCACCCGCGCTCGGCCAGCAAACGTGTGGCACTTGGGCTTGGCCAGCCTGGCTTTGCTGCCTCCTCCCTCAAACGCCACAGGAGCAGTGATTTAACTTCTCGAGAAACTTGGTTTCCACAGGAGGGAGACAAACAACAGACTTTTCACAAACCTCTCGCTCTAGTTCAGGGTATTTTTTTTTCCTTAAACCCTTCCCACTTGAAAACCGTCCGCTTGCTGCAGCAAGTGAGGCGGATCAGTTGGAGAAACCTTGGAGCTGGTGGAAAAGTAAACATTCAACCCTGGGGTTGCTATTTTTTTGTTTCCCTTTCTTCTCCTGTTTAATTTTCTTAGGAACTCAGCTGGAGCCAGCTGTTTGCTCTCCAGGCAGAAGTCCCTGCCAGGCTTAAGTTTTTAAATGTATAGGATAAATACATGTATTTAGTTTCTCATAACGCAATGTTTTGACCACGATGGATTTTTTTAATCTACATTTGCCCCTAATACCAATTTCTGCATCTTCTACCTCAGGGTAATGATTTTTTTTTAATGTTTTTGGCTGTGGTAGTGATGTGTCCCTGCAGGGCGGGAGCCCGACAGCTTAAATGTCAGCCCCTCCGCCCGTGGAGAAGGAGCTGGCGTGGGTGTAGGAGTTTCACATCGTTATATATGGTAGAGCGGTGTTGGCTTCAACTCGCCACGCATCCCGCAAGTCAACGGCTGAGAGCATCCCGGGGACGCTGCGCGTGGGTCTGAGCTCCGAGGGTGCCTATAGGGGTGCATTGGGTGGGATTTTTGCCTGCAATTGCCTTGATTTCATCATTCTGGACTCATTGCTTGCTGCGAGTGGTTATAGCTGGGCCGTGGTGGGGATGGCTGAAGGGATGGTACCTGCTGGTGCAGGGTTGGGTCTAGGCTGCCCTTATTTCCCATTAAACGTCCTTAAATGAGGAGCCCCTGCACCGGGCATCTGGCAGGAGTGGGATTTGGGAGTCCCACCATCCCCTGGCACGAGCATCCCGTGGGGAAACAGGATGGCTAAAGGGTAGAACCAGCCCAGGAGCGGCGTGACAGCCATGGGAACGGGTCCACGGGGAGACAACTGGAGTGGGTGGAGGCTCCTGTTTTCTAACCGATTCTAAAATAAGCTGCTAAAAAAGAGCTTTGAAAGAAAAAAAAAGCCAAACACAAAACACCACCAAAACCCGAAACGCCAGCTGGCACCGCTGATATTTCCTCCGCGGCGCGCGCTGAATCCACACTGATGAAGATCTCTAGGTATCCCCGGAGTCGCCCTTTAGAGATAACTCATCTTGGGGCCTCCACCACCCACACGGAGAGGAGAGATTTCCTGGCACGTGGGCGGCTTGCTTTTTCTTCTGCAGAAAACCCAAGTTTACTCACTTTTTCACCCCTTGTCATTGTGCCGTGGCGAGCTGGGGCCCCCTCCTCACTGGGGTCTGCCCCTTGCTCTCTCCCAGGTCCTCCACCGCTTGATGGTGGCAACTCATCACTGAGTGCCGCTGGCCGAGCCCTCGCTGCCGGCAACATCTCCCATTGCTCAACCAAATTTCTTAATTGCAGGTTTTAAGGCGTTAAAAGAAGTTTGAGGTCGTTAAAAGTTGCAGGCACCTCGCTGATTAGGTGGACGCAGGCTAACGAAGCAGCGCTCCCAGTTCCCGTACAGGTGAGGCACATCACATCACTCAGCCCCGTTGGGGACATGGAATAACTTCACCCAGCTCCAAATGCCCGTTAACCGGGTAACTAATTAACTCAGGCCAGCACTGAGTTACAGTCCCGGTGGGCTGTGGGGGGTCACGACGGGACCATTTTCAGCCACTGCGGAGGGATTGCCCCTTGGTCCATCGCTCACCGTCACTATGGGTGAAGAATAATGATGTTCCCGCATAGAGATGGTTTAGACTCAGTGATCCTTATGGGTCCTTTCTGACTCCAGGGATCCTATGATTTTCCAGAGCATATAAATATACAAAAATATGTATTATTGAAAGAAACCAGCCCGATTTCTATACATATAACTTTTGCAAATTCACAGTAGCCATCTGGGACACAGAGCAAGGTGATGGAGGAGTAATGGCTCTGTTTTGCTTCACTTCTTTTAAATTCAGTGGCTCGCTGCTCACCTGGGACATGGGGGACACGGGTTTGGTCCCTGCCTGGCGTGGGGGATGCGGACCCACATCATGCTCATCACCCCAACGGAGTCACCCTTTGGGCGGGAGAGGAGTCAGGGCGAGCAAGGTTTTGGGGCTTTTCAGTGGCAGTGATGTCACCCGCAGGTGCCTGAGCCCGGTGGCAGCTCGGTGCACGTCCCACGGCTGCTCTCACCACATCTGTGCCCAGCTGCCTGCCCCGGCGCAGGCTGCCGTAACCCACGACGTGCTTGTCCCGCTCTGCCAAGCAGCTTGTCCAGCCCTGAGTCCCTCCAGTCCCCAGCCAGGAAAAGCTCCTCCTCTCCCTTCTTCCCTGGCCCCGGTGCCACCTTGGGGGCTGGAAGCCAGCAGCTCTCGCACCGCAGTAAAGGTCAGGCTCCAAACCCGGCTCAGATAAAGCCGCGTATTTAAGGCACGTGGCTTAAACTTGATTTTATCTGCGAGCGCTGAGTGAAATAACATTTATCACAATGGGTTGGGGGAGAAGAAGTCGTCATTTTTTTTCCGTTGCTGTGTTGTGTAATTAAAAATGGGTTCGGTGAGCAGCTGCTTGTCGGGGGGGTGT